TTTTTTGAGACGGAGTTTCACTCTTGCCCAGGCTGGAGTGCAATGGTGCGATCTCGGCTCACTGCAACCTCCACTTCCCAGGTTCAGGCGATTCTCCTGCCTCAGCCTCCCTAGTAGCTGGGATTACAGGCATGTGCCATCACGCCCAGCTAGTTTTGTATTTTTAGTAGAGATGGGATTTCTCCATGTTGGTCAAGCTGGTCTCAAACTCCAGACCTCAGGTGATCCGCCCACCTCGGCCTCCCAAAGTGCTGGGATTACAGGTGTGAGCCACCGCACCCGGCCATGAATTACACCTGCTTTCTAACAGCACCCAATCCAGAGCAAAACTCTTACTTTCTTTTACCCTCTGCCAAAATACCCAAAACTGCAAGCCCCTCCTAACACTCTCTTACTGAGACATTCCGTGGTTCCCAATGGTGTGTGGTTTCTGAAGTCTCCCTTTTTACAACAAGTCATTAAACCTAGCTTCGAACTATAGATGTGTTTCTAGTGGTCTTTGGCTGATGGACATCAACAAATGTTTATTAAAGCTAAGTACTTTTTAAACATGATCGTATTTAAATCTTGCAATGGTTTTATGTGGCACATGTTATAATCAGCCCTGTTTTACAGATGAGTAAACAGATTTAGAGAAGTTAAATGTGTCATGATCAAGATCAAGGTCACAAAGCTAAGAAGTAAAGTTGGTGTCCAAACTGACATCAGAATGGGCTAAACCAAATTTAAGACAGTAACTAGTTTGGAAGGCTGCATGAAAGAGGTAGAATATTGGGAATTGCCTTGGGTGACATAAAAGGGGTATTGAGTTCTTGAAAGTGACTTGGGTGAGGTGGATGATACAGCTGTAAACAGAACTTAGACAAAAATAGGACCAAGGTATGCAGAAGAAGTGGGTATTAATTTTCCCTTCTTTCTTCCTTGCTTCCAAAGGTGATTGTCGGGATGATCATGTCTTTTCCCTCTACTTCATGATACCCTTTTTTTTCACCACTTTGGGATTGCTGTACCACAACTGGTAAGTAGGCCTATGGATAAGGAGAAAAGGGGAAAACGACCCGAACACATGGCAAAGATGGCCCTTATCATAACCCACCTTGTGGTGGAGAGGTTAAACTTGTGCATACCTCCATGGAATTTTCTGTGTCTTCAGTTGGTCGTATTCTGAAATTTCTCCCTACCCAACAGTAGTTGGGGATGAGTGCATGGAGGTCCCAGGAATAGATGAATTCAGGGCCTTGGATCCTGCAGAGTTGCTGCACAACTGGAGTCTCCTCTAAGTCAGAACTAGGGTCAGGGCTAGTCCAGTGCCCATAGGGTGTGATGTGAGAGAAAGGATTGGTAATGCCTCTTGCCACTGGCTCGGATCCTCTCCCCCACACAGGTACCCATCACGGGTGTTTGTGGGAGATACCTTCTGTTACTTTGCTGGCATGACCTTTGCCGTGGTGGGCATCTTGGGACACTTCAGCAAGACCATGCTACTATTCTTCATGCCCCAGGTGTTCAACTTCCTCTACTCACTGCCTCAGCTCCTGCATATCATCCCCTGCCCTCGCCACCGCATACCCAGGTAGCCGCTTTGGGGCTTGAAACGGACATCATAGCCTTTTCACTTGGGATATCTAATGCCAGCCTTTACATTGCTGTGCAAAGGGAGTGGGCCCAAAGAAGGGCTATTTCCATGTGAGTAACCCTTTATAACTTCCAAAGCGCATTTATTTGCATCATCTGATACTCACAGTGGTTCTGATAACAGCAAGCAGCAGAGCCAGAAATAGATCTCAGGTTGACTCCACATTCAATGCTCTTCCTATTGATTAGCCACAGGGAGGAGGGTTCAAATAGTGGCCCAGTCACATGAAGCTGTCTTCCCCCCGCAGACTCAATATCAAGACAGGCAAACTGGAGATGAGCTATTCCAAGTTCAAGACCAAGAGCCTCTCTTTCTTGGGCACCTTTATTTTAAAGGTAACAGGGTAACAAGGAGGTAAGGCCCTAGGCTGCCATCCTGACCTTGAGGAATGGGGAACCTAGGCCTACATCAGATCCAAGGGGAACTTGGAAGCATTAAATAGGTCCACATTCCTAAAGCATAGGTATTAGCTGAGGTTCTCTTCACCTCTGGTCCCTCCAGGTGGCAGAGAGCCTCCGGCTGGTGACAATACACCAAAGTGATACTGAGGATGGTGAATTCACTGAATGTAACAACATGACCCTCATCAACTTGCTACTTAAAATCTTTGGGCCCATACATGAGAGGAACCTCACATTGCTCCTGCTGCTGCTGCAGGTGAGGATGGGGATTGGGTTTATACCTCCTTGTCTCCCTTTCTCCGTGATTCTTACTCCAGTCCATTTCTCCTTGCAGATCCTGGGCAGTGCCTTCACCTTCTCCATTCGATATCAGCTCGTTCGACTCTTCTATGATGTCTGAGTCCCTTGATCATTGTCCTTTACCTCACAGTCTCTAGGATTCCTGACTCAGGCTGACCTCTCTCTGGTCCCAGACTGCCTCCTTGCCCAGGCCTCTCTCACTCTTCATACTCTTCCAGATTTTGTTCTCAGCATTTTCTTTTCCCTGTGATCGCTGGCATCCTGGGCGTTTCTTGCCCCCTACTGTCTACTGATTGGATTTTACTTATGACTTTCTGCAACTTGCTACTCTCCCTCTCCATCCTGTCTTTGCAGCCTCACAGGGTGGGATACAGCAGTTTTTTTTGCAGTTATCCACAGTCACATTTCAGAGTCCTGACTCTCAAGGAACTACTGGTTTTTGGGATAGAACTTGGGCCAGGGCTAGGGACACAGGCTCCACAGTGACCTGTTATTTGATTGTAAATTAAGTGTTCTGATTAGTAAGAAGTAAGCAGGGGGCCACATGCTCTCAATGGAGACAATAAAGTGTTGTCTATTTCTTATTGTTCCTGTAGGTATATTTCCTATATGGGCATTTTTGGGTGGATTGGGAGGGTAGGTGGGGGTACTTTCTCCAACAGGATGCCTCTCTCTCTGCCCCACCAGACCCCATCTAATAAGAAGTGAACAGAACTGAGACCAAACAGAACATATTGAATAAACATTTAAATCCTGATACTTCAGGTGGCATGGAGGGCCACAAAATTGAAGTTATCCTGTTTCCTGGCATGGGGTCAAACTTTCAAAGACACCGGGTACAGTGGCTCATGCCTGTAATCCCAGCACTTTAGGAGGCCAAGGCAGGAGGATTGCCTGAGCTCAGGAATTCAAGACAGCCTGGGCAACAAAACGAGACTCCGTCTCTACAAAAATAAATAATTAGCCCACTGTGGTGGAGCATTTGTAGTACCATCTACTCGAGAGGTTGAGCAGGAAGGATCCCTTGAGCCCAGGAGTCCGAGGCTTGCAGTGAGCTGAGATCACACCACTGCACTCCAGCCTGGGTGACAGCAAGCAAGACCCGGTCTATTAAAAACAAGAAAGAAAAGAAAGAAAGAAAAAGAAAACTTTAAGGGGTCATTATAATTTCTTCCCTTTTCCATTCGCCCTTTGTCAGGTAGGAGAAGGGAGTGTGGAGTGACCGGACCTGGAAAGGGTAGCTATAGTATTGACCCCTTTCCTTTAAACATCCTACGCCAGCACAGATTTCCCAGACGCTCTCTAGGTGGCCTCAGACTCCACCCCTTTTGTCTTCCGGTTCTGCCTTCCGACTGTAGTGTTTAAATCTCGCGCGCTTTACAAGGATTGGCTATATCAGCGGGTGTTTGGCCGTCTGCATGCTACCCCGCCTCCTCGCCTTTTCTCCCCGGGCAAAAGGTTTTCAAATTCGACCAATCAGCGGGCGCGCTCCCTCAGCCGAGGCGCGACACCCAAGGGTTAACCGCAACCAACCGGAGGCGGGTATTGGAGAAAAGAGCCAATCAGGAGGGCGCAGAGGTGTGTCCTGGGGGCTTATAAAGGTAGCCTCACGGCGCGCGCGCGACAGCGGTTACACTGCGGCGGGCTTCTGTTGGGGTGTCTCTGAACCGTTGTACTTCACCGGTCTACCTCGCTAGCATGTCGGGCCGTGGCAAGACTGGCGGCAAGGCCCGCGCCAAGGCCAAGTCGCGCTCGTCGCGCGCCGGCCTCCAGTTCCCAGTGGGCCGTGTACACCGGCTGCTGCGGAAGGGCCACTACGCCGAGCGCGTTGGCGCCGGCGCGCCCGTGTACCTGGCGGCAGTGCTGGAGTACCTCACCGCTGAGATCCTGGAGCTGGCGGGCAATGCGGCCCGCGACAACAAGAAGACGCGAATCATCCCCCGCCACCTGCAGCTGGCCATCCGCAACGACGAGGAGCTCAACAAGCTGCTGGGCGGCGTGACGATCGCCCAGGGAGGCGTCCTGCCCAACATCCAGGCCGTGCTGTTGCCCAAGAAGACCAGCGCCACCGTGGGGCCGAAGGCGCCCTCGGGCGGCAAGAAGGCCACCCAGGCCTCCCAGGAGTACTAAGAGGGCCCGCGCCGCGGCCGGCCGCCAGGCCTCCCCATGCCACCACAAAGGCCCTTTTAAGGGCCACCACCGCCCTCATGGAAAGAGCTGAGCCACTTCAGACTGCGGGGCAAGCGGGCCGCGGCTCCCGGCTCCTTTCCCCTCCCATCGCCCGCCTTTGCCGCCCGGCCTCGAGTCCCCGCCCGCCCCCCTCCTGGCCTGCACCGCCTGCCGCGTCGGCCTCGAGCCCTGCCCCATCCGCCGGCCGCCCTCCGGTAGGGCTCGGGCCCTCTGGACGCGGCTTGGGCACTCTTCGGGGACCACCGTGGCGCGGAGGACCCGAGCCTGCCGGGGGGAGGCCGGCGGCGCCGCACCTGCCCGCCTCGGCGCTCGTGACTCAGCCAGCTGCCCCATCCTGAGTCGCTGAGGGGCTGCGGGGAGGCCGCAGCACCTTCTGGAAGACTTGGCCTTCCGCTCTGACGCAGGGCCGAGGTGGGCAGTCCAGGCCGAGAGGCCGGCGGCCCTGAAGGTGAGTGAGGCCCTCGGCAGCTGCAGCCAGGGTGTCCGGTACTCCCCCGGCGTGGTGCTTAGCCCAGGACTTTCAGACGTGGCCGCTGGTCTGGAGGCTTTGGTGGGAGAGACACGATCGCTGGTTTCGGTCTGGCGCCCCCTCTGCGGCCGGGACCCAGGCCTTTCCCATCAGATCTCCCTCCATCTTCATTCATAGGTCTGCGCTGGGGCCGGGACGAAGCACTTGGTAACAGGCACATCTTCCTCCCGAGTGACTGCCTCCTACGAGGACATTTAGGGGAGGGCAGAGGCCTGCAGTTTGGCTTCACGGCTGGCTATGTGGACAGCAAGAGTCGTTTTCGCGGAAGCCGACTGGCAGCCAAGCCGGTCGGGCCTCCCCATTTCCCTTCCAGCAAACTCAACTCGGCAATCCAAGCACCTAGATACCAGCACAAGTCGGTTAATCCCTGTCTGGACTGAGCCTCCGTTGGCTTCCGAACTGGAATTTTGCAGCTAACCCTTCCAAGACTAGAACCTTAGGCATTGGGGAGTTTTAGATGAACTAATTTTATTAAAGGATTGTTTTTCTAAAAATGGAGCATTTGTTTTCATTTTGCAAGAGAGTTGTAGGATTAGTGACTTTCTATACTTTCCTGATAGTGGGGGTGGGAGGGGCATGCAATATAAATAGGCTCTACTGTTAACCGAAGAAGGAGCAAACCATAGGAATTTTAAGATTTTAAATTGTTTCTTGGTGTTCCTGCGAGACAATTTATTCTGTGTGAAATGAAAACTATTGAGGCAGAAGCAGAAAGGATGTACCAGGAGAACTTTGGGCAAAAGTCCCAGCCTCCGAGGTAAGGATGAAAGGGCTTTGTGTTTGTTCATATCTTCCCACCAACCCCCCCACACACACACAAAAACACCTTCAGAGCTGGTTTATTAGTAGAGTTGGTTACATTCAAAGGCTGTGGCTTGGACTTCTCTAAAGAGATGAAGCCCCCACATACGGAGGAGGCAAGGCAGTCATCAAGGCCCCAAACTGAGGCAAATCCCCAGAAGGCTTGAACCCTGCAGTTCAGTCTTCTGAGGTAATCACTCCCCAGACAGCAGTGAGAATGGGGCACTGAGGGCCGGGATGTAGGCACTGGACAGCAGCAACCGAGGCATCTGTGCCCCACAGACCAGTTAATGGGCATCGTTAAGCTGCCGTGCAACATCCAGGATGTTTTTGGCTCCTTTGCTCAGCAACAAGTTGGCCAGGCTGATGCCCAAGTTCTGGGCAGCCAACTGGGGCCCTCGTGGAATGTTACGAGCAGTGATGCCTACCAGCTGTGGGTCATCCTCAGGGCCATCTTCATGCTGTATGCGGGAAGGAGGTGGGAATTGGTGAGAACAAATGAGATTATATGCACTCTTGTTTATTACCCCCTCACCCTCCAGCTTTAGTACCTGGGCAGGGACATGGATGGTAGCCTGCATGGTGTCTTGTATGCTATCTGAGCCATCTAGACTCCAGACTCCTCCAGTCAGGTACAGCTGGGGAAGAAAACAGTTGCCTCAGCACAGTCTGAGAGCGGACTGCTTAGAAACCTGGGATGCACAGGAAGAAATGCCACAGTCCTCCCTTCCCTGGCTTGCCACCTATTTCCCCCCACTTACTTGCCCATCCTTCATAGCTGTATGCACGGCTACTGGCACACTGCAGCCTCCTTCCTGGAATGAGAAGTTCTTGTGAGCTCCAAGGGCTCTTAACACCATCCTGTGACCACAGACCTGAGGACATCACTGAAAAGATAACTGTGGGCTCAGACCTGGTCCTCTCCATACACAACACTCAACAAGAATGAGTTAGCACTATATACAGAGCATTCATGTGAGAAATCGTCCCCACCACCTTTCCCAGCTCTCCAAGTCCCCAGCCCTCCACAGGTGGAGCACAGGCCCTACCAGGTGCCTCAGGAAGGCCCTTTCAGCGATGCAGCGAAGCAGGGTCTCGGGATCGTGCAGCACACCCACCAGATCCAAGATGTCCTGGTCCTTGGCTCGGACTTCCACGCCCAAGGCCCCCTGATGGAAAAACAGCCTAGGACATCAGGCCTGCTCTTTCCCCAACCAATGGCGCAAAGCATAGGACCATCTCTATCTACTTGCTCCCCAGGGCCTTTTGGACCAGTAGCATCCCAAGGCCTGCCCCTCCCTGAGAATGCTATTCTGGGGTAGCAGATGCAGAAGGTTGTGAGACCAGCTTCTTGGTTGAGAACAAAGGGAAGGGATATGTCACCATGTGGCTTCCCTGGTCAAGTATACCTGGCCCACAGCATACATGCATTCATCAGGGTGCAGGATCTGTGGAGGCAGAACAGGTAGTCAAAAGGGTGGACACAGGGATGTCTAAAAACACTTGGCAGTGAGATGATTCCTATCATCGAGAAAGCCTGGGTAGGCCTAAGTGCGAGTCTGGCCTCTTTTTTTTTTTTTTTTGGTAAATTTTCTCCATGAAGGCCTAGAGTCTAGCCTCTGATTCACAATCTTCCCAGCCTGTGGTGTTAGAGGTGGGGTGGTCAAGAAGTGAAGACAGATGGTCCTTGACTTACAATGGGGTTACATCCTGATAAACCCATTGCTAAGTTGAAAACACAAGCTGAAAATGCATTTAATATACCTAGCCTACTTTACATGTGCTCAGAACACTTAACATTAACCTATTATAGTTGGACAAAATCATCTAACACCAAGCCTATTTTATAATAAAGTGCTAAATATCTCATGTAATGAATACTGTACTGAAAGTAAAAAACAGAATGGCTGTATGGGTACTAAGTACAGTTTCTACTGAACGTATATCACTTTCACACAATCATAAAGTCTAAAAATCCTAAATTGGGGATGACTATAAGGCAGAAAGGAGATGCAGATGAACTGGGGATAGGATAGGGGCAGCCCCTACCTGCCCCACCCGGTTGTGCCAGCCCATGCGCTGCAGGCCAGCTGTTGCCAGGATGATGGCACTGAACTCCTGCTGCTCGTCCAGCTTCCGAAGCCGCGTGTTGAGGTTTCCCCGCTGTGGAGAGTTGCTAAGGACCACAGTGTCGGGCAATCTGGGGCCTCATGAGATTCCCTCTGCCTCAGTCTGTCTTTCCTTCTCTAGCTGGCTGACTTTCACTCATCTTCCAGCTCTCAGCTTAATGGTAACAGCTAACACTTACATCATACTTACTACATGCCAGACACTGCTGTAAAAGTACTTTCCATATGTGAGATCATTTCATCTTCACAACAACCCTGTGAGGAAGGTAGTATTATTATCCCCACTTTACAGATAAGGAAAATGACATAGGGAGGCTAAATGACTTGCCAAGGTTACAAGACCTCTAACAAACCTTCCCTGAACCCCCAGACTTCTGTGTTTAGATGTTCCAACTAGAAGTTTCCAGAAAATTCCCAACTTCACTTATTGGAGCACTTCGCACATACTATTTTTAAATTTAGTTTTATGAAATGTACTACATATTCATTGTAAAAGTCAAAACAATATAGTAGCATATAAAAATGGAAGTACTGGCCAGGCATGGTGGCTCAAGCCTGTAATCCCAGCCCTTTGGGAGGCCAAGGCCGGTGGATCACCTGAGGTCAGGAGTTTGAGACCAGCCTGACCAACATGGTGAAACCCCATCTCTACTAAAAATACAAAAATTAGCCGGGTGTGGTGGCAGGCACCTGTAATCCTCACTACTTGGGAGGCTGAGGTAGAAGGATTGCTTGAACTCAGGAGGCAGAGGTTGCAGTGAGCCTAGATTGCGCCACTGCACTCCAGCCTGGGCAACAGAGTGAGACCCCTGTCTCAAAAAATAAAAATAAAAAATAAGGAAGTACTCCCTATCCCTCCAGAAGCAGTCACTGTTCAGTATAACTGCATTATCCCTAAGTAAAAAGTAAACTCTACATATGCAGGGGAATGTTTATCTTGCTCACCATTATCCCCAATGCCTTGCACTCCAAACACTTGTCTGGGACTAAGAAAACACTAGACTATAAATGAGTGGACGGATGAGTGGATGGAAGGACAGACAGGCCACTAACCCCACGGGCTGCTTGCTGGAAGCCCCTTCCACTCTCAGGACTCCCAGAGCCCTCTAGACCTTGCCTTTTTCCTTGGCTGCTCCCCTGTCACTCTTTTAAAAGGATACAATACTCCTGAACTCCAGGTGTGAGAACTTTCTCTGCAGCTGGGCCGCTCTCCGCAGGGAGCTGGTTCCCACCACACTGCCCAGAGAGAGGTTACAATGAGATTTTAACTCTAGGCGGTCACTGTTCCTTTCCTCCTCCTCCCATCCCTGCATCTTCTGGGCACATCCCACCAAGCTGCCTATTCAGGCCCCACTTACCTCTTCTCTGGCAAGGTTTCTAGGGTCTTCCCAACAAATTTTGGGTGAAAGACAACAGCATCATGGGGGTTTTCCCGCCTGGAGGAGGAGGGAAGGGCATAGAATGAAGGAAGAAATTTAAGTTCAGATCACCACCAACTCACTGGTATTTCCTGAGTTTTCTGCCACCAGTCAACACTCCTCAGGGCAGAGGAGATAACCCTGGAGCAGAGGGTCAGATCCCAAAGGGAAAGGCAAAGTTTCACCTGATGCCTACCCCTGCCCAAGCCCCTTACTTGCAAAACTCTTACTTGCAGATGGCTCCGATGGTGAAGCCAGGAGGAAGCACTGTGGGCAGGTCCTTCAAGGAGTGAACAACCAGGTCCACTCTACAGAGATGGGAGATGGGGGTGAAGAGAAAGGGAATGAGCAGCCAGCCTTCACCCCTTCTCCACCCACCCCTGCCTCCACTTCAGTGGTGGAGCCTAGGGCAGTTCAGGAAGCATGCCTTCCCAAAATCTCAGGAGCATGAAACCTGCCCTCCTCTCGCTCTCCCTCCTACCCTCCCTCCCCCAGCCATTCTTGCAGTCCAGGCAGCCAGCTGGCTCAGAACCAGACTCTCTCCTTTTCTGAAGCCTGAAAAAACCCACCTATGCGCCGCCTTCAGCCTCTCTGAGGGTTTAAGCCCAGCAGCCTACCTGACACCCGGGGTCCCAGCAAGAGACCTAGCATACTAAGTTCCCAGCAAGAGACTGGGAGGGCACCACACTCTCCTATCTTTACTTACTCATTCTTCTCCAGCGCATGTTCAAGCTCCTTGGTAAACAGGCTCTTCTCTCCAATCTGCCGGACAAGAAAGAGCCTGAGTGAATCCCTTCAGGGAAAGAAAGAAGAGCGGGGACAAGAACTGGGGAGGAAGATGTTGTTACCTTAGAGAGTGCAGTATCAAGAATCTTGTCTCCTGTGGTGGACATAGCAACTGAGGAGAGAGTCAATCAATCAGGCGCTCATTATTGATCAGCATTTACTGAGCCCAGCACTGTGCTACGATTCATGATGAGGACAGAGGCACATAATCCCTGGTCCCTGCCCTCTGAGTACCTACGATCGAGCAGGAAGACCAGAAACACTCCTAAAAAGACCCAAAGCTTAAGACGTTAAATGCCAGGCTAACCCAGGTAGTCAGAGCTGGAGGTATTCAGAGGAAAGCACCTTCGGAACTGGGAGCAGCCCAGAGGGATTCTTGGGGCAGCGAGACAGGCTTTAGCTAAAGGCAAAGCCAGAAATGCTGTGTTCTCCCCTCTCGGGGTACCAGGCTTCCCATTAGCTTCCACTCCTTTCCAGAAAACTCACTGATTTCAAACTGCAGGCCAGGGTACAAGGCTTTCAGTGTTGCCACCACACTGTCCGTCTGTATGCGAGCAAGCTGCGGGTAGAGATTTGGATTAGTCCTGCCCTTCCCAGCCACTGCTCAGACTCTCATAGGTTAGGCAGATCCTGAAGGGACTGGAATTTCCATGTGAGAATGAGAAGGGGCTTGGGAGCCCTCTGTACTCCAACAATTTTCCCAGCCTAGGGACGATCTTGCCATAGAATGTAATCTGCCATTCCCCAGGGAACGTAACGCCCAGCCACCCCATCTCCTCCATACTAGGGATTAACCCTGAGTCCCCCAATTTGTGATGCTGTGAACATCACAACTGTTCTGACAAACCTCTTCCACCCGGGCTCCTGCACCCACCTGGCTCTTGCGGGTACCCACGCGAATCACTCTCATCTTTGGGCTGTTTTCTTCCTGCAGAAAAAGTCCCCAGGTCACAGTCCCCTCTGTTCCTTGTGTTCCTCAATACCTTGTCCAAGAACCAGAATCACTGGCTTGGAAGAAAGGAACTTCAGAACCTGGCCTGTGGCTAGCTGGGGCTCAGAGTGGGGAAATACTTGGGCTGGTCCCTTTCACCTTCCTCAGTACCTTCTGCCCTCCTCAGGGATCCAGAGAAGCAGACACTAGAGGGAGGCAACAGTAGGACCTGCTGTTGCTGCCACTGCAGTAACCAGGACACTGAGCCCTGAAGCCCACCTTGGCCAAGGAAGTTGTCAGTAGGAGTGCTGTGCACAGCCAGGTGGATAAAGAGATAAGGCCCATCAGCCTGGCCACAGGAAGGGTGGGGCCTGCAGCTGGCAGGGGCGGGGCAGCCAGGACCACACTGGGGAACCTGTGCTGAGTCACTGGAGAATAGATTCCCTATCTACAACAGACGAGGCACTTGAGAAAATTTCAGTGCCATCCAGATGCCACATGGAGTAGACTAGAGTCTAAGAGCAGCAAGCTGCCACCTTCTCCGGCAAGAGGCCCAGATGTCTGGCTGCAAAAGAACTCAAGAGGATGAAGATGCCACAGTGGGGAAAGCTGACAGTATTAACAGTCACTTAATCTGGCTGGACTGCATGCATTAAGGACTGAGGTCAACAGATCTGATGTACAGTCCTGCTCAGCCTCTTGGCTGGGTGACCTTGGGTACATTGTCCCATGAGGATCTGTTTGTTCATCTATAAAATGAAGAGGTTGGACTCAGGTTTCTTCTGCCTCAGATGTTCCATAAGACTGGGAGGCTGCACTGCCTAAAGTTCGTTCACCTAGAGTGTTGTCTCCAGTTTCGCCAATAAGGAAATATTGGGAGGGCAGAGCCCAAGTCAAGAACTCAAGAGGACACGCCTCTTCCTCCTGCCAGAGTACCTTGGACAAAAGTATTCACTGCCAAGCAGGTAGAACTGAATTCTTCAGTCTAAGACAGACGTCCCATTTCTCTCTCTTTTTTAAAAATTTTTTTTTTTTTTTTTGAGATGGAGTCTTACTCTTTTGCCCAGGCTGGAGTGCAGTGGCATGATCTAGGCTCACTGCAACCTCTACCCCCCGGGTTCAAGCTAAAGGCATGCACCACCATGCCCAGCTAGTTCTTGCATTTTTAGTAGGGATGGGGTTTCACTATGTTGGCCAGGCTGGTCTCGAACTCCTGACCTTGTGATCCTCCTGTCCCAGCCTCCCAAAGCGCTGGGATTACAGGTCTGAGCCACCACATCCGGCCTGATCCCATTTCTTTCTACATCAGACAGTAGCCACTGTAGATACTGATACTGTCAACAGTCGACATTCCCTGATATGGGATGTTCATCCTATGGAGTTCCTTTTTTTTCTTTTCTTTTCTTTCAGACAGAGTCTCCCTCTGTCGCCTAGGCTGGAGTGCAGTGGCACATTCTCAGCTCACTGCAACCTCCACCTCCCAGGTTCAAGCGATTCTCCTGTCTCAGCCTCCCAAGTAGCTGGGATTACAGGTGCATGCTGCCACACCAGCTAATTTTTTGTATTTTTAGTAGAAACGGGGTTTCACCATGTTCCCTAGGCTAGTCTCGAACTCCTGAGCTCAGGCAATCCACCTGCCTTGGCCTCCCAAAGTGCTAGGATTACAGGCATGAGCCACTGTGCCCGGCCTAATTTTTATATTTTTAGTAGAGACGGGGTTTCACCATGTTGGCCGGGGTGCTATGGAGTTCTTTTGCACCCAAACATCTGGGGTCTCTATTGTGGGAGCAGGTGACAGTTTGCTGCCCTCAGACTCTGGTCTACTCCGTGTGATCACGCCAGTAAATTAACCCTGGGAGACCCTTTGCAAATTAGGCTAGGCTTGAAATACTAAACGTGGCCACCAAAATTCTGGGCCACAGGGAGCCCACAGAAAGGACTCTAAGGTCCCAGAACTACTAGGTTCAAACAATTCCTTAAGTTCCTTGAATGTGCACAGCATATTCAAGTCAAACCGTTTCATTAAAAAATAAAACATTGAGCACTTCTATGTTGAAGCTATTGCTTCTGCATATTGTTGTCCTCTCAACAATCCTATCAGGTAGACAAGACAGGCACCTTTGGGACCATGTTACAGAAGCAACGGGTGGCACCAAGGCATGAGGTGACTTGCCCAGGGTCACAGAGATAATAACCGAGAAAGAGTTGGGGCTACAATTCAGATCTTCCTACTCCTAGTCCAGGGCTCCGGAATGACTGCAGGAGCAAAGATCCCAGCCCTCACCAACTGGCTGGACAGGGGGAGATTAGCAGCTCCCCATCTCTTTCTTATCTCAGCCTGACAGTGGCCTCCACCAACTCTGCAGTTTGTGCACAAGCCCAGGGCTCAGCAAGCAGGCTTGTAATGGGAAGGCCCACAGCGGCCTCCCACCCACGGTAGTAATTCAGTAGGTGTGTCTCAGCTGAGGACTTGGAGAGTTGGTTGTGGCTGGGAGACCACTGTAATACAAAAATAAGGCGCACTTCTAAGACGTTTGTGTGCAGTTCGGAGGCTTGGCTTATGCTCTCTCCTCTGAATCAAAATTGGAACGTGTCTTCCCAAAGGGGCCGCATCTGCATCCGCCTCGGCCCAGCCTCGAATGAAAGGACCAAGTCTGAGTAGACGAACGTTCGCGGTCTGGGTCACTAAATCTAGAGCCGTGCATCCCAGGCCTGATGGGAATCCCACCCAGATGCCCGCAGGGACGGGGGTTCTGTTCCAGACAATCCTTCCACTCTTAACCCAGCACCACCGCTCTCTTGATTTCCCCATTCCTTCCGGAGGGCAACAGAACTACTGGCCCTTTAAAAACTATTCGGACCAAAAAAAAAAAAAAAAAAGCCGTTCTGACCAATAGCGACTGAGGATGGCAACCTGGGGCCAATTGCTGCACGGCTCGTCCAGAAGCCCAAAGTGTGCTGGTCACCGGCTCAGCACTCACCGCCGTTGCAGCCGCATTGCCGTTACCAGACATGGCTCCGCTTAGGAAGTAGGCTGTGTTTGGGTGCCGCTAAGGTCCCCCAGCCCCGGGAAGCCGGGGGCTCCGGCCGGCGAGTACCGGGGACACGTGGGGCCCGAGCTTGTCGTACAGTCTGACTCCTGGTCTCCGCAGGGCCACGTCACTTCCGGCGCCCTCCCTCGAAGGGGAGGTCCCTTCCTCTGGGCGGGAATTGGAACATTGCGACAGAGTGGACCTCCTCATTCGACCTCTCCATTCCCCAGCTGTGGCATGAGCAAGTAGTGCAGCTTCTATGGCGCTTCCTTTGCTCTGTTCAAACTTAGCTTTGCTACATCCCTGAAGTAGGCAGCATTTTTCTTTTTGATACAGGGTCTCACTGTGTCCCCAGACTAGAGTGCAGTGGATGACCACGGGTCACTGCAGCTTTGACCTCCCGGCTTCAGCGATCCCCCCACCTCAGCCTCCCAAGTAGCTGGGACTACAGGTGCACAGCACCACGTCCGGCTAATTTCTAGATTTTTTGTAGAGACAGCAGGGAGGTGGTCTCACTGTGTTGCCCAGGCTGGTCTCTAACTCCTGGACTCAAGCAATTATCTCACCTTGGCCTCCTAAAACGCTGGGATTACAGGCGCGTGAGCCACTGGCCCAGCCAGCATTTCAATTCTTAAGATGAGGAAACTGGTTCAGAGAGATTAAAGGTCATGCCTAAAGACAAGTAACTGAAGTGGGAGCACAAACGCTACATACTTGTAGTGAGAAAAGAGCTTATTAGGAAAAGTGCTTTCCCATGAACATAATGAACAATCATGATTAATAATCACCCAGCTGGGTGCAGTGGCTCACACCTATATTCCCAGCACTTTAGGAAGCCAAGGCAGGAAGACTGCTTGAGCCCAGGAGTTTGAGACCACCCTGGGCAACATGGTGAAAACCTCATCTCTACAAAAAATACGAAAATAGCCAGTGTGGTGGCACATGCCTGTAGACCCAGCTACTCAGGAGGCTGAGGTGTGAGGATCGCTTGAGCCCAGGAAGTCGAGGCAGCTGTGAGCTATGGTGGTGCCACTGCACTGTCGCCTGGATGGCAGAGTGAGACCCCCCTTTTTTGTTTTTTTAAATTTTTTTTTTTGAGATGGAGTTTCACTCTTGTTGCCCAGGGTGGAGTGCAATGGTGCAATCTCGGCTCACCGCAACCTCCGCCTCCTGGGTTCAAGCAATTCTCCTGCCTCAGCCTCCTGAGTAGCTAGGATTACAGGCACCCGCCACCACAGTCAGCTAGTTTTTGTGTTTTTAGTAGAGATGGGGTTTTACCATGTTGGTCAGGCTGGTCTCAAACTCCTGACCTCAGGTGATCCGCCCACTTCAGCCTCCCAGAGTGCTGGGAATACAAGCATGAGCCACCGCACCATGTGCTTAGCACTGTACAAAGAACTGGACACCTATTTGCTTGTTAGGCTTTCATAACAGCCATATAGGGTAGGTGTTATAATCCCTAATGCACAGATGAAGAAACAGATTGATGGGGAAAGAGTGGGAGTAGGGTGAGGGATAAGAGACTACACATTGGGTACAGTGTACACTGCTTGGGTGATCGGCACCAAATCTCAGAAACTACTACTAAAGAACTTGTTCACATAACCAAATACCACCTGTTCCCCAAAAGCCCACTGGGAAAAAAAAAAAATTAAAAAAAAAAAAAAACCAGTTGAGAAGGTAAGATGTACCCTAAGTCAAACAGCACAACTAGGATTCGAACCCAGGTCAGTGGATCCAAAGTCTACTCATAGCAGCTACAATACTGCCACTGTTTTTTTCTTTTTTACTTTTTGAGACAGGGTCTCTGTCACCTAGGCTGGAGTGCAGTGGTGTGATCAAGGCTCACTGCAGCCTCAACTTCCTGGGCTCAAGCAATCCTCCCACCTCAGCCTCCTGAGTAGCTGGGACCACAGGCAAGCGCCACCAGGCTGGGCTAGTTTATTTTTATTTCTTGCACAGACGGGGTCTCACTATGTTGCCTGGGGGGTTGGTCTTGAACTCCTGGACTCAAGTGATCCTCTCACCTCAGTCCCGCAAAGTGTTGGGATTACAGGCATGAACCACCGCGCCCAGCCCATGGCAATCCTAAATACTACCTAAACCACAATGTCAAACGTACTTCCTCCAATTAAACAACATAGGAGATGAAATTAGGTGAGGTTGTGGAGAAAAAACAACATAGGAGCAATTTTCACACAGGCAGTGCCACCCAAATTACACAGGGACACCTAGCAACATAAACTTTAGCTGACAATTTCAAAGAGGGAAAGGTGTTTCCAGAAAGGACCTTTTCTCCTGTTTATCATCTGGTAGTAAGTACAGCAAGATGCCAACCTACCCATTATTAAGGTAGGTTAAGCCCAAAGCTCCCTACCAGAGTCTGCCTCCTGCTTGAGTATTTTGCCCAAATTACCAGCAAGAGGAAACAGCAAGAGTTGTTTTGTGTGTTTTGGTCCAGGCTGCTCCTGGAGCTCAGTCATTAGGTCTTTTGCAGAGGTTCTTCAGTAAATTGAACTGTACCCAATGCCACAGGCCCCACCCATTACCGGAACGAGACTGAGCCAACATGGTCTCCAAGAACACCATAGGAGGGAAGTGGAATGCCAGGAGAGCAGAGGGAAGGAAGTCCATCATGCAGTTAAGAATCACCAGGAAGTCCCCAGAAAAAAATCCTTAAGCTCCCAAATCATTATATTCTTTTATTTACAGACTCTGCGAGCAAGGACCCAAGCACAGCCTGGTGCTCTTGGATAGAGAATAAAGCAGCTATTGTCCACACTCAGAGGTTGCTGAGGTGCCCTCCCCCACTGATCTGGAATGATCTACACTGCTAGTGAAGAGGAGGGATGGCAGGCTGGCTAAATAAGAAGGCAGGGAAAGAAAGTCTGCTTTAGTTCTGAGGGCTGTGACATTAGATGAGAGTGGAGCCCTGGGCATGTCAGCCAGCCTTCTGTGTAACGCCCGCTCAGGTCCCACTGTGTCTGTCCTCTCGGTCCTCCACTGTTGCCCACATCTTCCTCCAGGCTGCTTAAGTGCCCCTCCTGGAGTGCATGAGCAGGTCGCGCTGCAGCCCAGCCTCCAGGCTGGAGGTCAGTCTGGCTGTGGGAGGGTCAGTCAGCAGAGTCAATTTGTTGAAAACACCTCTGCCAAAGTAGTCAGCAATCACAGAAAAGCTGTCATTGGAGCACTTGAGCTGCAGGAGAAGAGGAGGGAAGGAGTACCAATCAGAATCAAAGTGCCTGTTTCTCAAATGAGGAGGAGATAAGGAAACAAGCCCTCCAGTGACTCTGTGACACTAGTGGGAATCCCCTGGCCCATCTAGCCCACTCATCCCCACCTGATGCTGGAATTGATCATGGAGATCTCGTTTCTGTTCCTGGGCCCGGATCATATCCATGACCTTCCGGTTTTCAGGGAGGCAGGTGGGACAGTCAGCATCACTTTCCGAGTAACTCTCAAAGCAATGTTGGTGGAAGGAGTGGCCACACAGGAAGTGGACTGAGGGCAACTCCAAGGCACTGTTACAGATGCTGCACTTGGTCTTTTGGAAAATCTTAGGACTACAGGGAAGAAAGACCAGAAGTGAGTGGCAAAAGTGAGGGCAAGGCCAGGAATCAAGGATAAGAAAGAAGGCAGCTGAAGTGGGCAGGGCAAGGTCCCTGGTAAGGCCCCTGAAGGCTGCCCTGCTCTTCTTACCGCCTTAGGGGAGTCAAATGATTATAACAGCCCTGGACCTGTAGTGAGTCTTAGCATGCTCCCAACAAGGCCAACTCAGCCTGGGGATCATTTCCTCTCTCTCCATTTTCACAACTGCCACTAAATTAACTTTCAGGTCTGTAGTCAGATGTGACCCTTTCAGTGAGGCCTTTCCTGGCCACCTTCTCTCTCTTTTTTTTTTTTTTTCAGACGGAGTCTTGCTCTGTCGCCCAGGCTGGAGTGCAGTGGCCGGATCTCAGCTCACTGCAAGCTCCACCTCCCGGGTTCACGCCATTCTCCTGCCTCAGCCTCCC